TCAATGTTAGCAGCAGTAGAAGATGTAGGGACTGTAGGTACCACATCTAATGGGTGGTTGGTAAGATCAGTATTTGGCTGATGTGAGGGTACGGGAATTACCACATCTAATGGGTGGTTGGTAAGATCAGTATTTGGCTGATGTGAGGGTACGGAAACTAATTCCCGTACCCGCTCAACGATTACAGGAATTATATGATCTGTCAGTGCAGGAATTAATCGCATCACTAACTCATCCAGATTCCCTGTCGGTGTTGATTGAGCATTTGGAGGTGTTGTTGACGATGTAGCATCAGATCCAAAAGAGCCATGAAGATTTGGCCCGTAGTAGCATTTTGCTTGAGATCCAAGACCATATACTCTTCTTTTCTTTTCTCCTCCCGCGGCTTGATAATATGCTTTACACTGATCAATATCAGATTGAGTCTGTGTTTGTTGTTGTAATATCTCCTGATATTTTTCCTGTAGAAGAGTTAATAATTAGTGAAATAGAAAGACTAAAGAATATTGAGTATTCAATTTACAAAATGAAAAAATATATGAAAGTAAAGCCAATAAAACTATTTAAAAAGTTATCTTACATATACGATTCGGGATTTCTCAGCAACAAAAGATTTTCCATCATTACCATGTGTATGGACGTGCAAATGCAACTCACTTGGTGTTGGATCTCGACCCTTTTTAACAGCCTATACAAAAGTTATTCAATTAAGAAGATTCGCAACGAACATAGCGGAAGAAGCACTGGTATTACTGGAGGCATTACGTTATTGTTCTCAGCTTAGTTTTAATAGACTTTGGATAGAAACTGACTCATTCTTGCTAAAAAGCATAACTAATGGAACATGGAATCCTCCTTGGAACCAAACAACTCCCGTGTGGTTTCATTCTGCAGTAACAAGTACCAATTTTTCTTCCACAGTGTCAATATCTAGTGCATAAAATTATCACTATTTAATGTTAATTAAAGCTGTCATAGTTCAATGAAACGAACTTCTCTGAATATAAAGGCGTTAAGATAGTTGAGCCTACGTATTAAGACAAACATAGGTAATAAGGAAAGCAACGAAAGTAAAAAAAAAAATAAAGTTCAGTAATAAAGAAGCTTTGCTTCATCAAACGTTTCTACCATAGTGGATGGCGACACTATCTAATATGCTTCTACCACATGCTCTCAGGACCTTCATAACAATAGCTACAGGGAATGCCATGAGTAAGATATGTTCTGATTGAAGCGTCTTGACTTCAATTTCCCTTGTCAAATGTCTACAGCCAAAACTGAATAGCATATCTTCAACTGGAATTATTGCCTAAAATACAACAGCCTGTCTGTCTGCCTAGTTTAGGAATTACATTCTACCCTCCAACTAGCTCCAACAAGACAAAAGAATTGACATGTACAATAAAGAACCTATGATCTCTTGAGTACAAATTTGGAAAAATACCTCATAATGCAGGTCTTGCTACCACGAAAGGTAGAAGTATATGATGAATAGATATTAGACACCAGAAGGATTAATATAAAAGTGTCATATGGCTGCAGAAAACCATGTCCTGCTCATTGGAATGCCGATTATTTGGCTGAATGTTACTGAAGTGCCATTTTACTGCTTCATAGATGGAAAACCAAATAAGCTAAGTCAATGAAAAAAGAGTACAACAAAAGGGCAGTCTCCAGAATAACCTAGGAATGTAATTCAGTTCAATTCTCAATCTGGTTGAACAGCAGAAGCTTCACATTTTATTACTCAATCTCTTACTGGGCTAACTTTTAAGTATTACTAACTGGACTCAAACTGACTAGACAACTGAATTATCTCCACCAATATGTCACCGTAGCGAACCTCTTATGCTACCCCACATACATCACCATACTTCTATAATAGTTTAGTTCAACACCATAGAAGAAATAGGCTGCCAGACTCTAAGAGACACTCTATGAAAAACTGGACACTATACATTGTGGTCATGGTATAGCAAATTCTCAGTCGGCAGGGTATACACAGGCAGGCTTGGTATAGCAAATTCCAGTGTCCATATAGCAAAGCCTGGATGCCCTATGATACTTTAACCAATGCTTTCCAATAGCATACATACCCAAATATCTTATGGGCAAACCGATTCAATATATTTTACAGACTAAATACATACCCAAATATCTTACAGACTAAAAAGCAGCAAGTTCAAAACTAATTCACCAGGCAACAAGGTCAATATATTTTTACACACTCGCTTTACAAGGTCAATATTCAAACTCAAATCAGCTAACTTCAATCAATTTCACAACAGCTATCAACAAGGAATAAGCTTGGACACTCAAAACAGTGTAAGAACTGAATCATATATTTTATATACACTTACAAGTCTCTTGCGATGCTCCCCAACACTAATAGAGCCACCTGTGTGAGTCCCAGTGGCAACTCCGCTCCCAGCACAATGATTTTTAGCATTTATTTCTGACTTTTCAACACACTTGGGATATTTCCAAAGTCTCAACCAACTTTCCCACACATCCTTTGGAATAGAGTCCCGTTGCACCCCATTTGATTTTAGTTTGCTAACAAAATCACTGTATCTTTTTGCTGCCCTACGCTCCCATTGAACCCGCACCGCACTATCAATTGAAGAATCCCAGTAGAATGTCTTCTGAAATAATTTTATAAGGTAATAACATTAATAAGTTACATATAAAAGTTAATATACTTTCTAAATCCAATTGTGATGGATTATACCTTGAATTCTCCAAAATAAAAAAAATTATCTCATCTGAGACGCTTTTCCAGTTGACTCCATTAAGATCAAGTTCATGCTTGAAAGACTTAGTTATACACTCAGAGCATTCATATGAAGGCTCTAACCTGAACAAATTAGAAGACATTATTTAAAGGCATACCATATATTAATAAAAATATACCAAAATTAATAGTACAAGTATGGACTAACCCTGTATGAGAAATAGTAAGAAGTGTCCGCGGCCCGTGGGTACTGCTACACTCAGTTTCGCCTATTATGTTGCTCTGAGAAGATGTACCCTCGCCTATTGTGTTGCTCTGATTAGGGGTATTTGGAGATGGTTCCAAATTAATAGTTGGGGTACTACCATGGCCTGATGTTTGAATAGGTAGCGTACTACTAGGACCTAATTTTTGAACTTGATTGATGTGACCTGGTCCACCTGAGGAACTCGTACCACCTTATTGAGGACTAATTGTGGGAATGGGAACAGTAGGCATATTTTCACGAGTAGCAACATTACCCCTAACTGAAGATTTACCTACACGGCCTGCGCTACCGCGACCTCTACCTCGAGGCATATCTACAAAATAAATAAATAAAAGAAGGATATGAAACAATGCATATCTAAATAACATATGTCATATGAAGCTTCAAATAAAATGTTTTGCTAAAGACAATATCAGAAAGACACTATTAAATTGATACAAAGAGACATAATACAATATAAAACAAACCTGCACTATCCAATGCTTGAACTACTCATTGAATTGTTGAATTTGATAATTTCTTTAGACCAAAATACAACGATCTTGGATCTAATTAATTCTGAATTTAGATAAATTAATCAGTTAACACTATTAAGTTCATAGTAAACATTATTCTACTGCTACAAAAAAAAGAGTCAGACTAATGTAAAAAGAGGCACAACACAACGTAAGCTAGAAGAGTACTATACCATTTAGATTACTACAAACGTGGTATTCGATATAATTCTCTATAGATTATACTACAAAATAGATACATGACTTATAACATACCACACAGATTACTAGAAAAACAAAACTCAATAAAAATATAGTAGTGCATTTTTATCAACACACTAGTCATCATCTGTTTCTTCTTCAAATTCTTCCTCATCATCCTCCTCATTTTCATCCTCGGTTTCATACTCGTCTTCTGAAGATTCTTCTTCGAACTCTTGATACTCTATCAATAATCCATCATCAATGGGTTCAACCATTTCAATTACATCCCCATTTGGATCATGTAAGATTATATTCTCATTAGTGATGAAATTCATATCTATCAAATGGACTTCAACTTCTTCAACTTGGAATGGAAGATTCGGTTCTGGAATTGATGTTATTGCCTCATCAAGAAGTTCAATAACATCCCGAAGTTTAACTTTCAAAACAGCTACCCAATCATCATTGTCCTTTTTCGTGCTAAGATAAGGCACATAACACACTTGAGTTGCTTGCATCGCAAGAATAAAAGGTTCGTACTTTCTAAAACGACGACGATGGTTCACATCGACTAATTTGTATTTATTATGCTCCTTGACACCAACATTCACAGTTGGATCAAACCATTCACACTTGAATAACACAGTTTGCTTTAAAGGTTCTTCGCGGTATTCCACTTGTATAATCTCTTGTATCCGTCCATAATAGTCACTAACATTTGGATCCGAGATACAAACTCCACTATTAATTGTTGATCTTGCACTACCATGGTACTCCGTGTGAAATTTGTATCCATTAACAAAATACACAGGATAACATTTTGCGCTTATTAATGGTCCATGAGCAAGACTACGCAAGAATTGGTTCTCAATGTGGTTGCATCGAACCTATTTCAAAAAACATATAAGACTTAGTTAAATATAACAAGCCAATTCAAGTAAATAATTGCTTAAAAGATAATGATTTTTATAGTCTTACATATTCCTTGAACCATATAGCAAAACACGTTTCGAGACTCTCATTTATTTGATCCTGAGATAGATTGGGGAATTCTTCTTACAACCGTTGTATGTACATACTTCATTGCAACAAAATAAGTTAAATACAAACTCAAAATATATGGATATATTTATTATTATTAAATAATGATACCTTACAAACGGCTCAACCTCTACACAATTTAGTAGAATATAAGTTTGGGCTGCCTTGATTTCTTCGAGGGACAAACTTCTATTTTTTCCTTCTCCCCATAGTCGGCCTGGATGGGTGAATATTGATAAATTTCCTTCAAGATCTTCCATAACACCACCATCATCATTACGAGCCACATTATGATTACGTGTCATGACATGAGGTTCAAAATAATGAGAAAATAATTGTGTTGATTCCATCATCAAGTATGCTTCACAAATTGAACCCTCGACACTAGCCTTATTCCCTATCATTTTTTTAAGAGTTCGAAGGTACTTATACAAGTAAATGGATAGACAATTAAATTCATAAAGTCATGTGTAGCATACTTGTCATAATAAGAGCATAAAAAGTTCATAACCTCTCAAAAAGATACATTCATCTATATTGTACAGGTCGAGCAATCCTTGCTTCATATGGCAGGTGTACATGCACATGTTCCATTGAGTTAAAGAATCCATGAGGAAATATACGCTCTAACTTACACAAGATCTATGGGATGTCTGCCTCTAATCTCTCCATGTCCACCACTCGAAGAACAGTCGAGGTGAGATCCTTAAAATATAAGCTCAATTCCGTAAGTGTTTGCCACACGTTACTAGGAAGTAGCTCACGAAAGGCAATAGGCATTAGTCGTTGCATGAACACATGGCAATCATGACTTTTCATACCAAATAATTTATACTTGTCTGTGTCTAGGCATCGACTCAAATTCGAAACATACCCATCTGGAAACTTCACATTTCCAACCAATTGAACAAGATAATTTTTTGATTCTTCTCTATTGTATATGCAGCTTTGGGATAGCTTCCATCAATAGGATTCTTTGCCAATTGCGGTCGATGGCAATAGTTTACCATATCTTCACGTGCCTTTGGATTGTCTTTTGTTTTGCCATCAACATTAAGAACTGTGTTAAATACATTATCAAAGACATTCTTCTCAATATGCATGACATCGAGATTATGTCGGATCATGTTAGAGCTCCAATAAGGCAAATCCCAAAAGATGCTTGTCTTTTTCCATCCACAAGACCTAGAAATTCTCTCATTAACTTCTTGTGCATCTAGCTCAGTTACTTTCCTCAGTCCCAACTCACAAATTTGGTTCAAGATTTCCTCTCTTGTTCTAAGGGGTGGTTGTAGCCTTCTTACAGTCTGACCTTTACGAAAGTTTTTACGATCTCTCCTAAACGGATGATTTTGGTCGAGAAACATTTTATGACTGTCAAACCAAGTTGTTTTCCCACCATGACGTAATCTAAAGGATTGTGCTTCCTCCATACAATAAGGACATGCTAGGTTACCGGCAGTACTCCATCCAGATAACATAGAATATGCTGGAAAGTCATTGATTGTCCACATCAAAGCGGCCCTTAATTGAAAATTTTATTTTTTTGATATATCAAATGCTTCTACACCCGTCCTCCCACAACAAGGTCAATTCCTTTATTAAAGGTTGTAGATAAACATCAATTTTTTGTTTAGGGTTGTTTGGCCCTGGAACAATGACAGTTAAGAACATGTCCGCTTCTTTCATACACATCCCTGGAGGCAAATTGTATGGAGTGACAATCACTGGCCATGAAGAGTATTTCCTCACTTGATGACCAAAAAGCTGAAAACCATCAGTACATAATCCTAACCTCACATTTCTTGGTTCAGCAGCAAAAAAGGGATGAGTTTCGTTGAAGTTCTTCCAAGCCTTAGAGTCTGAAGGATGACGCATTACACCCTCCTCTTGTATGTGCTCATGATGCCATCTCATATCAGCAGTTGTAGCATGAGATGCATATAATCTCCGCAATCTAGGAATCAAAGGAAAATAATACATTTTTTTGTAAGGGATTAATTTCCTCTTACGAGAACCGACACGACGTTTGTACCTCTGGTGTCCACAAAACTTGCAAGATGGGAGGTCCTCATCTTCACCCCAATACAACATACATCCAGAATTACAACAATGAATCTTTTCAACTGGCAAACCCAAGCTACGCACTAGCTTCTTGGTCTCATAATAGTTATCAAGCACTGTGTTATCTTCTGGTAAAGCCTCTTTCAACAATTGCATCATTTGGTTATAACCTCTTTGTGATAAAGTATTCTCCATTTTAATATTTAGCATCCTGAAAACTAGTGCGAGTTGAGAGAGGGAAGAACCAGGGTATAATTTTGCATCAGCAGCCTGTAGCAAATCATAAAACCTTTGGCACTCAAGATTTGGCTCCTCCTCCATTGAAGGATTAGGCTCCGCCGCCATTGAAGGTTTATAAGAATAAGACGACTCAGGTTCAGTATTATTATAAGACTGCCAGCTCAAACCATGGCCAAAATTGGGTCCAACTGCATTCAAGACCATTTGTCGATATGGATACTCATATCCCGATTCAGGTTGAGCGCCACCATGCAAATCACCACTAGAAGACATCTCACCGGTCACATTTTTTTCTCCTTGATACTTCCAAAGAAAATAGTTCTCAACAAATCCATACTGATAAAGGTGCAATTTAACAGTTTCAACATCCATGTATTTAATGTTGTGACATTTTTTACATGGACATCTAACATTGTCACCACTCATGCGATTGCGCTGAGAACAAGCAAACTGGAGAAACTTGTTCACGCCGGTTATGAAACTTGAATTAATACCCCCTTGGCCATCCAACCTTTTGTACATCCAATCACGCTCTAGATTGTCCATGTTCCTATTTAATATTAAAATAAACAAGACCTTAGAGTTCTTTATTTAATAAGACATCAGAATGCTTTCTAAAATGAATAACAAGTTGACATCATAATAAGTTGAGAATTACTAACACCCCAATCTTGGAATGAAAACAAATCTTGGAATGCTCAGTTCCTTTCTTTGACCAAAATAAGAACCTTAAATAGACAAATGAAATGCTATATATTGAGTATTACATAAGTCAAAAATGATTAGATAACGTAACTAACTGGAGAAAAGAGGGGGGACGTAACTAACAAGAGAAGCGACTATATGCAATTAAGTGAACAATGTGTGTATTTACGACTAACATTCTATGTGATCTATATGCGTTGTTGGCTAAATTAGTCTGCTTTCTCTGTTGGCAATGGAAAAATCGTGAGATTTCTGTTGTGAAGTTGTATAATGCATAAAATTGTTCTATTTCAATAATTAACTATTGGCCAAACTTCATCAAGTTGTACAAGAAGGCATAGAATTTACTATCTGATATTGCTATAGGTAACTAATAGCCTGGTAAATTTATGTATAACATTATGTTTCCAATTTCCACGTCCTAAATTTCAGAGTGTTAGTTGTGGCATCAACATCCATATGGCCACCTCTCCTCTACACTCTAGCAAACTTCAATGATATTAGACCAGGGATGACAAGTGTACATATATTATGTCCTAGAGATTAGCTTAGTGGAACATAAGATGTATACACACCCAGAGATCCAGACATTCATATGTACTCACATAGAAGAAAATCAGATCCAAGTAATAGGGATTAAAGAGTGAAATCCAAGTTATTGTGCAATTAAGGTAGACAGAAAACCTGCTTAGTATTCCACGTGAACAATGATTGTAAATCTGCTGATATGTTCAAGGTCAAACTAATCTGCATGCAAGGAAAAGTATACATGATATAGTCAAACTTCTTTGAAAAATTAAGAAGTTCATAGAACCACTTAATCAACGATGTTAACTAGGAAGCTTAACATAGCTAACAATTTCATGTAGATCAACAAGATAAAGAAAATGAATTGATACCTTAGGATACATATAACTTTTTATTAAACCTTATGATACACACAATACCGTATGCTAGCCTGTTTATCCAAAAAAATACATGCTCCAATAATTGTTACGAAAAAAGTACCCTCCAGTTTCAAGGCTCCTTACCCTAAAAAAGGGGTGATGCCCATCTCATCAAGATTCACTAAAATAAAAATGGAGTTGCAATATATATAACAGCTTTTGTACTTTTAATATGATCCTTTTTCCATATATGTAAGCAGATAAAGTGTAAAAAAATCTGGATGAACATAATGGAAAAATACTAAATTTTCTTAAACTTAGTTCCTGTTTTTCATAAGCTGTGTCTCTTATCTTCTTAAGATGTCCTGAAATCTCTATGTGACATCAGATATACTTTGACACTGTAAATTGCTGCTTTGGATCAATACATTAAGTTCAAACCAGCTATGTTATTTACAAATAAGCCACCAAACTCTAATTATCAACTAAAAATAATATTTATATGTCCAGCGATGGAAGGAAAGCTAAAGGCTTTTACATGTTAATTTTACTACTAATTAAGAAGATACTCTGGGTCGATCAAATACATAGAAGCACACCCCAGAACTAACGGTTCGTCTTTGTGAGTTTACCTAAACCCTTCTTCTCCGTTTAACTTCCTCAATCCATACGAGCTCATGAGACTATTCGCTAGATTCACCTTGCAAGCTAAGTCATTTTAGTTGGATTATATTCAGACTTCCACCAGCCCCAAAATATAGTCCCTTCCCACTAACTGTATCTGAAGAATATGTATTCACCTTTCCTTTCTCCATTTCTAGAGCTCAAACGTCGTCTACCATAAAGTAGTAGCAGACACTTGTTAGATTAAATTATGCATAGTTGCAAAAGTTGTTAAAAGTTGAAAAGCAGAGCCAAATCAAGAACAAAATACAGCTTTTAAAACGACTAATCACTACAATTGACAAACAAACTAAGACTGATGACGAATAAAAAGATTCAAACTTTAAAACAGGAAAAAGGCCAAATTATCTGAGGTAAAAACAGAAAAATGGCCGGAACAAAGAATTGGAAATCAACAAGTAAAACAGAGCATCTCCCAGAAAACTTTACAACTCGTGGTCTTAAAAGTTCTAAAACAGAATTGGAAATAGAGTTTCTAAATATTAAAAATTCTTTTTTTCCAACAGAAAAACTAGAAATAGCCAGAAAAACAGGACCAAATCATCTTAATTGAAAGCTTCTTGTTGTGGCTTTCTCCAGCACCACTTGAACTAATTTCAAAGATAACCTTATAAAACGTTCTACTACAGAAAATTGAACCTCTCACTACAGATGCACTTCTCCATCATATCATTTATTCTCTTTACATTCTGTTTTTTTCTGACTTCAATTTTAGAAAAGTTGAACAATGATTGTCGCCCAGATCTACAAGACAAGAATGAAATCACAAAGAAGTTTACTCTTTCGCCTAAGAATCTTGCGGAGCAGCAACATACGACTTCGAATTTCAGAGTTATGCAGCAAAAATCTTACAATTTCAAAAGTTTTCTTCTATTTTTCAGACATTAACCCTAGATTCATGCCCAATTTTTTGTATTTGAAGAAAAAACCTCACATTGTTGAAGAGGAGTGAAGGAGTCTGATAGAGAGGAGAGAATGTAGGTGTGTTGCCCTAATTTTTGCAATGCCTTTTAACTAAGGTAATTTTATCTTTAGGACGAAAACTTTAGGGACGGACCGAATTTCTGTCGCTAAAAATAACTAATGAAATTTTATTTTAAAAAAACTAGGGTCGGCAAATTTTGTTGCAATCAACTTTGGAATGGCTTGATAAGTAAAATGAATGCAATGACGATGTTTTAACGTTAAATCCCTCGCTAGGGTTTAATAATTTTTGCCGCCCCACTTCTGTCGCTAATTTTGTAGGTAAAATAAAGGCGCTAATATTTAGCGCCAATTTTAGCGACGAATTTAAGTTTTTGTCGCTATTCCGTCGCTATATTTGATACGAATTCTTTTTGTAGCTTATTTGGCAACAAACTACAAAATTTATCGCTAATCCGTCGTTATGTAGCTACGGAGTATCACTTGTCGCTAAATTTTGTCGCTAAACGTTGTTTTTTTTGTAGTGGGGGTTGATACTAAACAACAACAACAACCCAGTATAATCTCATTAGTGGGGTTTGGGGAGGGTAGTGTGTACGCAGACCTTACCCCTACCCTAGGGTAGAGAGGCTGTTTCCGATAGACCCTCGGCTCCCTTTCTTCAAGAACTCCCCACCTTACTCTTGGGGTGACTCGAAGTCACAGCCAAGAGGTTGGAAGTGGAGGGGTTGATACTAAACAAAAGGTTAAAAATACAATTATAAATAATACAACTACAATTGATAAATGATAGAGTTTATTACAAGCATGACAGAGCAACAAGAGCAATAATAATAGAAATTAAATAAAGTTCTGCAATAGCAGCACAAACAAATACAAGAATAACAATAAACTAATTCTTTTAAAAAATTATTCTGAATTCGATAATAACTCTTTGCATGTATGTTTTTTGTCTCCACTTTCATGCAAATGGAATATTTATGTTTTCCTTTCTTCCCGGTCCGAGAAGATCCTAAAACACCTAACGAGCGCTTTTTCTTTCTTCCCTTTTTGGTCTCGCTGTGGGGGTGAAAGTACTTCTGTTGACTTAATTAATCCAGACACCCGTTCTTCCGAAGGAATTTGATAAATGACTCCATCATATGATCTGTCTATATTTTTGGACCATACGAGTTTATTTCTGTTTACCCGAAAAACGGATAGAGTTGAATTTGTACGTAGTTCTAAGGATATGTGGTGTAGCTTAATACAAATCGTAAGGATAAATAGAAATATCAAGTATAGATTGCAAAGGATGTAAAATAGACAAAGTTATAAAGAAGATGAATTTTAGGACTAAGCAAGTGGAATCAAATTAAGATGCTTGAAAGAACAACTCTTCACTACAAGAGAATATGGTGCTTGAATTACAATGTTAACAAAAACTTGGCTCTACAGAAATGATAACCATGCCCTTTATAGCAGAGGGATCTTACTTTAGATATAAAAAAATACGTAGTGGGAGACCCATGATAAATCAGCTTTCCCACAATTTCTGACAAGATTCTCTCCTCTAGTGGGATTGTAACGGCTCTTGTCTATGAGCTCGATATTGACTCGAGTTTTTCAGTCTTGACTCGAGCTCTCGATCATAGCTTGAGCTCGATTCTGACTCGGACCCTTGAATTGATTCGGGGTCAATGTTGGTCGGTCTCTGGATCATAAGCTCGACACTTTTACTTTGCATCATAGTTCGATTTGGATTCGAGCGTGATAATAATATCGAGCTCGACATTGATCGGCCCCGCGGAATCGAAGCTTGTTTGTACCGTCTTCGGAACCCATCTCGAAGTCTTACTTCGATCGATTATGTTTCAAACTCGATCAATCATACGAAGGCCGAAATCTATTTCGACCGTATATGTATAGTCCCCTCGTTTCTCATGAAGAATATGGTGAGAAACGATATGATTTTTCAACGGCTCGATCGGATAATAAGGTGACATTTACATTGGGCTCGACCATGACACATGTGACAGTTGTTCTGTCGATTTAGTCTTTCAAGGTATTTAATGCATGTCAGACGGTGGTCGGCCACCGCTGATACTGAACCACCATTGCTTAAACCTATAAATAACCCTGCCTTTAATCATTTATCACTTTTACATCTTCAACCTTCCAAATTTCCCAATTTCTTTTTTGTATTCTCTGAGTTTATACGCAAATCTGTGATTCCTCTTTGCAAAATTCTTCTTCCAAATTACCAAATCTGTGTCACCTTCTTTAAATCCAAAATGGTGAAGACATCCAAAACCGCCTCCCAAAAAGAAAAAGCTTCTTCTTCCCAATCCGCCGCCGATAAAACACCGGTGGATCCTCATCCTGAGGAGTGCGTTCCGGCGGCGTGTATTCTTATCTCCGATTTCAAACTTGATAAAGGTTCGCCGGTTCCTGGCCGATATGAGCTCGTATCGAGATATATTTGTTCGATAACCCGGGAGCACATCGAGCGGATAAAAAGAGATCGTAATTGGGAGAACAATGAGGTGGTAGTGCCGTCTCCTGAAGAGGATATTACTACTCACATGAGAGGGTTTTTAAGCGTGTATACTTGCCCTTTCACGTTAGGCCCCCTCGACTCTGTTATCATAGATTTTTGTCGTAAATACTTAATAACCCTAGGTCAAATACATCCTTCCTTTTGGCGGATCGTTATTTTGATTCGCTATTTTGGGAGTAAAATCGAGGGGATGCCTTTCACCCTCGATCATCTTGTTTGGTTATACCGTCCTCGCCTTTTTCGATGAGGGTTAATAAAACTCTAACGTCGAGCTACCAAGGCTTTGTTCTCGAGTATAGACGAGGATAAGGATCGAGGCTGGATGGGTCGGTTCGTTCGAGTGAGGACTTCGGACCTGATCCAGATCGAAAAGATGCCTTTTTTCGAGGAGTGGAACATGAAGTGTAAGTGTAATTCTGTTGTTATCTCCTATTATTTTGTTCTTTCATTTCTTTTCTCACTAATATTCCCCTTTTGTGATGCAGCGATTCCCTGGATGCCCGACGCAGTGCCCGATCTCAAGAACTGAGTACGTGATCTGGTTTCGACCTCCTCATATGCTGAGCGCTCATGGCGCGACTTGTCAAAGGGCCGATGGGAGGCCAAAAATCACGGTGAGTACCTCTCTTGTATCTTTTGGTAATTCGAATAAGATGCTTTTCGCATACTTCAATAAAATTTTCCGTATGCAGGTGTGGGCAAGGATGCGGTTTTGAGGCCCTTGTCTGTTGAGGAAGAGGAAGAGGCCTCTGTCCCAAAGCCGGTAAAAGATAATAAGATGAAAAGAGCCCTTGTCCTCGAAGATCAAAAACCAAAGAAGAGGACGGCTCGTAAGCCGAACAAGAATATTATTCCTTTGACCGTAGAATCAGTTCTGCGTCTGAGGGATGAAGAAGAGGAAGAAGAAGAGAATGATGGGTCTGCTCTGGCGGCCCGAACAAAGAAGACCACCGACATTCCACAGGCAGCTGGATTGATGGTGGTTCATAAGGCTCCGCCTCGAACTGAGGATATATCGGAGAGAGATTCGGGAAGAGTCCCCTAGTTGCTGGAGATCGAAGGTGTTTCCTATCGAAGCCGACAGATGGGGGATATGTCTGAAGGGGCTCTTCCCGAATCTTTTCGAACCGAATAGAATGCCCCAGATAACTCATTTGGGGCAGTAGCAATCGAAGGCTCGCCCACCTTCCCTGCTTTTTTTGCAAGGGCGATTCAGGAAGCCCAAGCTTTGGGGGTTCTCGAATTAGATAAGCCTCATGATGGAGAGGATCCTTTTCGTGACCTGTTCATCAGTGTCGAAGACACTGCCGGTACAAGTGACGCATCGGATCTTTTTCACGGAGTGCAGCAGGCTTTGAATCAAGTAGGCCTTAAATCATATGGTGTTACTTTTAAGTTTGCTTTTCTTTTATGACTTTGTTTCTTCTTTCTTTACAGGCCGCGGCAGTTCATCGAGAATCATGTTCTCGTTCCCGAACTGAACTGCATCGATACGAGGTCGAGCTTCAACGGGTTACAGAGGAGAGGAACTCCTTAAAGATCCTTTTGGGCCAAAGGGGAGAGGAAATAAAAAACCTCCAAGCTGAGTTGGCCAGGGCTCACCAAGATCAGATCGATCTATCCGAGCAGGTAATAATGCTTTTAAAAGCCTATGGGCTTAATACCGGAACGATGGCGAATCTTTTGGTCTCACAGTTGCAGCAGAAAATCGAGATGATCGGAAAACTCCGTGAAGAAGTTGATGTGATAAGAGCGGAGTCTTTGAAGTGGAAAGAAGGAATGGACCGCTTTGCTGCAGAGAAAGAAACTGCTCGAGCCCAATTGTCATCGGCCGAAAACCAACTTCAAAAAATGAAGGAGAAAAGCTCGGTTCAAGCAAGAGGAGCTCAAGGCTCGGTTGGCCTTTGTACTTGACAAGGCCGAATCTGACACCGAAAAGGCAAAGGCCGATGCGGATGCACTCATGGCCGTCTATCGGGCCGATGCTGAAGCTGCCCAGGTCCAAGCAAGAGAGGCAGTCGAGACCGCCGATACTCGAGCATAATGGGTCGCTGAACTTGCTAAGTGCCGATCTCGGAGGGATATCCTCAAGGATATCCATGTTCGAGGTTTCGACCTCGCTGAAGAGATAAAAAGGGCCAAAGAACTCGAAGCCGATGTTGAAGCCTTGGTTTCCGATGACGATGATGATGACAATGATGATGACGATGGGAGTAAGAGCGGATCCGAGAATGGGTGGGAGCCCGATAGAGAAGAGACCACTCCTAGGGATGACCAGGAAGCTTAGTCCTTAATTTTTGCGTTGTAATCAATCATGTAAACAATTTTGTATATAAAAATATCCCCTTTTTTGCCGACTTGCTTCTATTTTGTTTCCTGTCTTGTGAAGACTTTATTCACGCCTTATGAATATTTTCACAAGGATTTAAACAACTTAATCAAATTTGGACTTTGTAGCCTCCATAACCGACCGAGTGCTTACTCAAACATGAAGCGATGTAGCCCTTAGGCTTATTAGTTGAGTCAGTGATTCGAGCTCGAAGAAATATAGCCCGTAGGCGTA